CCACTGTATTCTATGCTCTTGTAACTTCCAGAGTGGACTGCTGCAATCTGCTGTACATGGGGCTGCCCTTGAAGTCCATGAGGAAACTTCAACTGGTCCAAAATGCAGTGGCCAGCTTACTGGTCAGAGTACGACTGAGAGCTTGTAAAACACATTTTAAAACAGCTGCACAGGTTGCCAGTTTGCTTCCAGACCCAATTCAAGGGATTAACAAAGCCCTAAACGACTTAGGCCCCAAATATATGAAAGACAGCTTCCAATCCTACAGATCCTCCTGGATGATAAAATCAGCAGAGGGGGCTCTCTTGGGAGTTCTGCCACCTTCAGAATTGTAGGGAATAAAGGCCCAGGATATAGTTTTTGCCACCTGCTGAAGTCAAACACTTTAACCTGTCCTTTGCCAGGTAAAGTATTTTGTTTGTGGAATTCACCTATTTTGCTGTCTCTGTCCTGTTCTGTTTGACTTGTAGCTTGGATTCAACCTGGAGATTGTGTTTTCTAGTGCCTTTCTTTCTTTCTACCTCTCCAGTGCAGCTCAGTGTGCAACTAGAACCTTCTTGACTTTTTTTTTTTAATGTGTTCCACCTAATTCACCCAATCTTAATGATGGCTCACTGTTTACATTTCAGTTCAAATCATCCAGTGAGTAGCACTAAGAGATACATCAGTGAAATAAATTTTGCATGTACAATCCAGATTACATTCAGGCCGCTGGGAATTTTGCCATAGATTTCAGCAGTATTTGCATTGCAGCCTTAATTTTAAAGCTCCTGATTACAGCTGGGGAAGGAAGAACTAAATGAAAATATATGCTTATTCTATATACATTTGTGGCATTATGCTTTACTTGAAGCAGGCTGGTCCAGATCAATTTGGTTGGTTTATATGGCAAGGAAAAGCACAAGAGCCATGTGTTTGTGGGCAATTTTGTTTGTCTTTTCATCTGACATTTGGGCTGACATGTTTCCAGCAAACCACACCAGCTTATGAGTCTTGAATAACCCTGTATTATTATACGCCATTCAGCAGTTGCCCACATCATAAGCCTTCAAATGGAACTACTGTATCTTCTTGGTGAATTTTCAAGGGGTCCGTGGTTGGCAACCAATCCCACAGCCGCATTTAAAACCAGATGGACATTGTGTATGCTTGTCCATATACAGTATGTAAAAGGAATTCTAATCTTCAAAAGCAGGAGTGCCAACTTGTCCCAGTGACTGTGGGTGCCAGAGGTTGTGGGTACCATGCAGTGTGCATGGCCCTAGCAGTGAAATATGTGGGTGCCCGGTGCCTTCATTGGAATTTTGTGGGTGCTCGGGCACCCAGGGCCCCAGGGAGTTGGCACCTATGTTCACAAGGAAGGATCTTTCCAAGGTCTTAGCCAGTGGAGAGTTAGCAAACACGTGGGCTATGAATGCTGATTCGACTTGTGACATGGCCAAGCCGTATCTGAACCAAACAGACACTTTTACCCAAACTAAAATTCTAAAAATAAGTGAAATGGAAATGTTTCTGTACAGAAAGATGAAAATGAGAGAGGCTTAGCACATTGCTTTTTTGCTGACACTCAGAGATTAATCTGTAATGTGTGAAGGGCAGCATGACCGTCTTTCTTTGGTTGTTTGCAGTCAACTCAGTGCATGTAGCATTGGTGGGGAAAGGACCCTGAAAATATCACAATATATGGACATTTTCCCAGGGTAGAACACAAGCACTTTTCTTGCATCTAGTTTGAACATGGGAAGAGGCAAAGTGGTACCTACAGGGCAAGCCCTATTGTGAGTGAGTTGCTTCTGCTGTAGAAAAAACAACCAAGAATCTGCTGGCATCTGAAAGAACAACACATTTCCATCGAGTGGGCATTAGTTCCTAAATGTTTATGCCTTAGTAAACATGCCAGTCTTTTTCAGTTTTGTTTTGTTTGTTTTTTTGTTTGCAAAAAAAGAGGCCCAATTTTCTAGATTCAATAGTAGCAAAACCAGTCATAAATGTGGATACATCAGTAATGGCAATAGCAATAATCTTAGCACTCCTAATAGTGGTAGCACAAAAGACACATACCAGATTAGATCTCCAACACTGGAAAGATGGGGATGGGCTTCGCAAGATTTCCTGTTCTGGCACAGCAGGCTGAATGAGTTGCTAAGGTCTCTACTCCTGCCCATTGCATCAGAAGTGTCAAAGGTGTCACTACTGAATATCCTGCGGTCAGAGGTCACACAGGAATGACATTGTGTTTATGCTGGATGTATGTGTGCATGAGGGTGAGAATTCTGTTCCACTTTTCAATCACACGAGCTCCAAGGCAGCTTACAAGAGATTGACCATGGCATGAAATATGAAACATGGCTTTCTGTTTGTCTCTGTGGGGCAGCTAAGAAGGATGCTAAGGGACTTCAGGGGGTCTCCAGTATTCTTGTTGCTGCTGCTGTCCTTACAAGTCCCATAATAACGACTTTACTGAAACTAAAGAATGATGGAAACTTCATCCCAGACTCTTTCCTTTCAAATGAATGAGCTGTACAATTACATTATTGCTTTCACATAATTCTCACAAGTCAAACAGTGAACAAGAAAACATGATAAATCACAGCCCTGTTAGGTCCAATATTATCCCATCACAAATTATGAGTCAAGAGGGAGGAATGTATTTGGCAATTTATAGCTTCCTGTGAGAATAAGAAAAGATCCCATAAGGTCAAGCATTTTATGGGTGGGGGGGAGTGTGGGAATAGCCCAGGCTTATAAGCTATTATATTCGAAGGACGCATCAGCTTTCATCCACACGACACAGAAAGATAGACAGACCAGCAGCGACCAATGAAAAGCTGATTCTCTGAAAGTGAGAAAAGCAGGTGCTTTTGTTAAGTACAATGGGAAGTTATTACCAACCGTGTCTGTCCCTGGTAAAAGGATATTAAATTAATGTTACCGCTTCTCATGCAATGGGAGAAATGCCCAGTTCTCAGTAGTTCATATTAATTTAATTTAAATACATACAAATTTTTAAAAGCTGAATTGGCCAACATTGAGGATGAGCTAAAGAAAATAAGTAACTGGATTAAAACTGGCCAGTTGTCAACCTTCTATTAGCACACTTTTCTTTATGTACAGAGGTAGCATAAAATTTGAATTCAAGAACGATTCACTCCTTCCAAGTTCCAGATGATGTGTATTGTTTTAGAGGACTGACAGACATCTGAAACGTTGTAAAGTATCATGGGTATGTAAAATGCAATAACTGGCAATGCAATTTAAATTGTGCTCTTTTTAAGGTTACGTTGAATGCAAGCTACAGTTTTTAGAATTCCGGTAAGAAGCAAGACTTGCACATATTAATCACATCAAACATTCATTTTTAAATGCCAGAGAAACCTACTTCCTTGTTTCATGATGGTTTTTTTTTAAAAAAAAGGAACCAAAAAGATATTGGTGTTTTTTTTAAAAAAAAAATCACTGACTTCTACATAAGCAGCTGTGTGTCCTTTGAAAAGTAGAGGAGAAACACTAACTGTTTAAACTCCAGGGTCAGATGACTGATAGAGTGCATTGTCTGGAGACTTTCACAGCTCAGGTTAATACTATCAGACCTTTTAATTACACCAATATATAGCTGATAAGAAGCCCTAATGGCCCTCTTCATATCTGTATAGTAACTAGGACATACACCATGTATGGGTGTAAGATTGATTCCTATAAAGCTTTGTTCTGATAGCTTGACTTCCTGTCAAATGATACATTGCAGAGACGGCTTCTCAGTCTTTCTCTCTTCTCTGGCAATGTTAGACATTGTTTAGAGATGTTTCAGGGCCGTTGGAATAGGCAAGTGAAGTACAGGAGTGTGGCTTATAAATATGAATTGCCAAGATGTAAAGTATGGTTATTCAGAGGTTTTAAAGGAAACATTTACACATTTTTACTTAACCGAGGAGATTTTATATATTTTATATGATACACTGTTCATCATTACTCTCGCTCCAGTCTAGGCATGCTTACAACAGTGCTAACAGCATTTTCTTGTGAACATCCTACCACAGGAGATGGCTGGAAACATAGCAATTGCTTGGAATCATACAACAAATTCCAAGGATATTCAGAGGAATAAAATGGGTGCTTGAACTCCAGCCCAAGTACAGCCCAAGTACAAAACTTGCTGAGTATGTCAGTAGCTGCCAACATATCTATCTAGCATCTATCTAGCATCTATCTGTCTGTCTGTCTGTCTGTCTGTCTATCTATCTATCTATTTATCATCTATCATCTATCTATCATCTATTGCTCTGCTGCCTTTTCTTCAGAATGATCCATGTTAAATAGTTAAATAGTAAAATTCAAAAACAGCTCCAAACAAAAGAATAGCATAGCTCTAATAACTGTATGCTTAAAAAGATAAAACAACAATAAAACCATGGGAAAGAAAATTGTATTTGTGACCTCAAAGTCTCTATGGTAGGGACGTTGGAAGCAGGACTTCCGAAGTTAAAAGAATAGGTTGGTTCATAGGGATGGAGCTGATCTCTGGAATACCCTAGAGTGACCCATGCCAATCAGAACTTTAACAGGAATTACAATGGTACCTTGGGTTACATACGCTTCAGGTTACAGACTCCGCTAACCCAGAAATAGTACCTCGGGTTAAGAACTTTGCTTCAGGATGAGAACAGAAATCGTGCTCCGGCGGTGCGGCAGCAGCAGGAAGCCCCATTAGCTAAAGTGGTACCTCAGGTTAAGAACTGTTTCAAGTTAAGAACAGACCGCCAGAACGAATTAAGTTCTTAACCCGAGGTACCACTGTAATTGGACACCAGTGAAGTTCACATCTGAGGACTTAAGGTTGAGGACCTGATCTAACGGCCAACGTCTTGTCTAAATAAAAATGTCTGCCAGTGGATGTTAGAAATGGGGTAGCCATGGGTCTCCTTGGCAAGGAGTGGTAGAGCTTCATAGAATTGTAGCCTCTTGAGGGTCATCTAGCCCAACCCCTGCAATACAGGAAACCCTTGCCCAACCTGGGGCTTGAACCCACAACCCTGAGATTAATAGTCTCATGCTCTGCCAGCTGAGTTATCAGTACCTAGTAGCAGTCTTTTGCGTTCCCACTAAGTGTGCTTCAGGGAAGGGCTGTAGCTCAGTGGTAGAGCATCTGCTTTGTGTGGAGAAGATCACAGGTTCAATCCCTGGCATCTCCAGGTAGGGCTGAGAGAGAACTTTGTTGGAAACCCCGGAAAGCCACTGCCAGAGCCGCTGCAGGTGCGGCACCATTGACCTGCCATTTCCCAACACACTGGGGCACTGAGAGGGAGAGGGAACTTGGGAACTTAAAGGACCAGTGGTTTGATTCAGCATCTCCCTGCATTCCTACATTTCAGATGCTGGTGGGACAGACAGACGGGACTCTTCAAAGGATCATAAAATCTGTGCAGGCTCATATGGAAGAATGCTGTTTTCAGATAACCTGAGCCCATATGCAGCTTCCTTTATTTCCTCTCGTTTTTCGAAATGTGGTATGGAACAATGCAAAAGAGATTAAAACTGTATTGTAAGAAGAGCCCAATGGTAAAGTTTGCTATAGTGGCATTAGGGTAAGTGTTCCCAATTACGAGCAGGTGGTAAAAACACAGATCCTACTGAGAAATAATGAGATGTGTATACATAAGTTTAGGAACCTCCTGTGCATCTTTTTGAAAATGACATAAAACAACTTGAAATTAAATTTCATTTGATGCCAGATGAAAAACAAATGTTTCGGGGGGAAAGTTTTTAATACAAAATTAATTTGTTTTACATGTGCATGCCAGCAGGTTTTTCTTTTCCTTTTTTTCTTTTTTACACCACTTCCCTAATGAGCACAGAGACTTACAGCCATTCTGTGAGTAGTAAAATCTTTTGTCTTTTTTATTTATTGGCATTTCCGCTGCATCGTTGCATCTAAGCAATTGATAGGGCTAACGTGCTTATATAGACTTATAGGGACTCATTGAATGATCCCAATTCCTCAAAATGTACTAGACACGTTTTCCTGGGAGCAATCTCCACTGAACCCGTTTGCTACTGATGAGTCTGTGTACATCTGTGCACAATACTAGTTTGATTTATATATTCCAATTTATATATATTTATTTCATTAAGTGTAAACACCGTTTGATTTTAAAAGGCTTCAGAGCAGTCTTATATATATATTGTAATCTCTTGCCCCTCCTCCCAAAGTTGAGATGAATAATCAAAAAGCATACACTCTTTCACCCAAACACTTGTGCATGTACAAAGACAGCTTGTTCTTGTGCTCAGAGATATATACTGTCAGGACTAGATGATCCTTGGGGTACATTCCTACTCTATGATTCTAGGATCCATCCCTAGCTACAGTAAATAAGAACAACTTTTTTTAAAAAAGAGTATTATTCCTTCCTTCTTTACCAGGTTTGCCCTGACATGCTGTCTGAAATGTGGCTCAGTGTAGTATTACCATATATGGATGGGAATCAGAGAAAGAGGGCCAAGACTGAGGGAAAAAGTCACTCTCCAAGGTCAATCAATGAGTACATGACAGAAAATGATGGGGGGGAGAGTGAAAAGTGAGAGCCAGGTACATGTGCACACTCACATTTATTTACACATAGGGAAAGGTGGAGAGACAAGAGGAGAACCAAGCTTGAAGAGAGAAGTTTGTGATTTTACCTGTTAAAATATATTTCAGACAAGTTGGACTCAGTTTGAGGGGCTGCAAACTAGCAAAAGCTCACAAAGGCAGAAGGAGTAAGAGCAAGGAATTTTTTTACAGCTACCATATAAAGCAAGTTATCATTACAGTGGTACCTCGGGTTCAGAACTTAATTCGTTCCGGAGGTCCGTTCTTAAGCTGAAACTGTTCTTAACCTGAAGCACCACTTTAGCTAATGGGGCCTCCTGCTGCTGCCGCGCCGCCAGAGCACGATTTCTGTTCTCATCCTGAAGCAAAGTTCTTAACCCAAGGTACTATTTCTGGTTTAGCGGAGTCAGTAACCTGAAGCGTCTGTAACCCGAGGTACCACTGTACTATTATTATTTCTGTCTAGTCTTGGAGATAGAAGGTCTGATGTTGGCAGATGCCAAGTAGGTAATTTTAGACATTGAACTTACCAGGGGTTTTTTTTTGGGGGGGGGGCACTTTTCAGATGGTAATTTGCACAAGTACACTTACTTCAAAACATGGTAAGCCAATATTACTGTGGGGGAAATCCTGCTTTTTCTGCAGATCCGGGTTGTGGGGAGTGGGGAGGACTTCTGCTTCAAAGTCCAGCTCTGATGGCACCACTTGACCTACCCACTGAGTTGATATCTAAAGTAAAATTTGAACCAGAGGCTTCTTAGCTCTTTCTCTTTAGCTCAGGGTATGGGCCCAAGGCATATAATGCAGGAACCTTCCAAACCCAACCATTTCTGGCTCTGGGCAGTGACTGGGAGGCAGACTGGTTTGGAAGCTTTTGGTCCCATAGAACAAAGGCCAGCTAACAACCCAATGAATTTCTTTTTAAAAAATTTCATTGCTATTCTATGCTAGCTCCATTCTCCTTTATATCACAAACCACTCAGCTGTACCCACCTAGCTCACGAAAATTATGTAGAACGATTGTTATCTGTAGGAAGGAATCGTGCTGTCATTTTATCCAGAGCATTGGTTTATATACGCAAGTGTCAAAGGATCAGCTTTCCGTATCACTGTCACCAGTTATCAGTACGGCTGATGCATTTGTGTGGTTTTCCTCCTCTGCCCTTCAACTACCCATTTGATATTACAGCTGTTGCCTTACTTGCTGGCAGGAATCGGGAGCAAAGTGCAGCAGTTTTCCCAGATCCCAAGGGAAAACGCTATTCAGGCGTTTTCATTGCCATGGTGCTGGATTGATTTAAAGCTATACACCCATTACTATGTGTGAAAAAATCATTGTGACGTGAAAAACAATTGACACATTAATTGCAGCTTACAACAAACACCTGTCAGTCAAATAAACCTTCAGACAAATGGAGCTTAGTGCTACACTTTATCTCACACAGCCCTCGCCCTAGGCACCGAGAGACGCTTATGCCTAAATAAGCCTTAGCATGTATCTATAGCCCAGCTTTTAAAAAAAATTCTAAGTAACTATGGCAGAAACTTCTCAGCAAACCTGGTGCTTTGTCCTTTTCGGGTTGAAGAAATGTGGGTTATTTTCTTTTTACTAAGAGTATTGGCTCTGGTGGTCACACAAAAGGAGATATACAGATCAAATAATACAAGATCTTTCAGTGAGGTCTTAAAAATACTGAAAGCAAGCTTTCACGTTACACAGAATCCTTTCCTTCTGACTCAGACAAAGAAAGAAAGAAAAAAGAATCCTGTTGTGGCAGCAATTTTAATGCCATTCAGTGTGATTCATTAATGAAAGCTTTGATCACACGTGTTTCTAAAAAGTATGTTATTTAATCAGGAAAGTCACGAAGGCCTGTGACACAGGCCTCTTTTGTGCTAAGAAAATACTTCAGCCAATTAATATGACCCACCCCCTGTGAGTAGTACTGGATACAAGATATGCAATCAGCACAGGACTCAATATTTCACACCCACTTCCTGGCTGACTCTTAGTCTTCCATGTGTGGATGCACACAGAAGTGAGGAGGGCAACCAGTGCTTTAGGTGGGAGGCCCAAGCATGCCTCCAATCCATGCAGCCAACCATCACTCTCCTCCCCAGTGTGCCAACTTGCACATTAAAATAACCCATGCTCTGCAGGAAGAAAAGGAAGTCTATACAAATTTCCTCCGTTGCATGCATCTGCACCCCAAATGCACATCAGTGCCCATGAAAGGGTGCTGTAAACATATGGTTGACAATATGACCATGCCAGTCCATTAAAACAAAACAAAACCTGGCTGCAAAATATTGCACCAGTTAGTTAATTAAAAGTCATCTGGTTAATTGGCTAAAAAGATGTGCAATGCATCAACAGCTCTATATAAAAAAAGATAAGAGCATAGCCATGCTAATGTGTTCCTAGCTGAGGCTGCTGCATTTCCAAGGAACTAAAGCAAAGTGGAGTGAAGACACTGCTTCCAACCCATCAAATATTCTCCCACCAAATGTATGGTTTTTTTCAAGAGGAATACAGCGAAGGGGATGTCAGAAGCCAGCTCTCCCAAAACAGGTGATCAGTGCAGTCAGAGCTGACCATCTCTTTAATGGTACGTGTGTGTGTGCGCACACACACACACACTATCTCACACAAGGAACGTTCTGCATTCATCTCCAAATAAGAGATGTGCAGTTTTCTTTCGACTCAGGACTCTCAGCATGCACCCGGAACTGTAGCCAGAAGGCTCATTCATGTTCTGCACTTTTTCAGACGCCTGAGTTCTCTTGTTAGACCACATTGAGAGGACTCAAAATGGGAATAGAGCAATAAGAATGCATTGGTCTCCAGCACCCATTTCTAGATTGCTTAGGACACAGAATACAGTGGTACCTCGGTTTTGAACATCTGCATTGATGAACATTTTGGTTTTTGAACACCGTAAACCTGGAAGTAAATGCTTCAGTTTTCGAACACGCCTTAGATGTTGAAAATGCCACACAGCTTCCGCTGAGTGCAAGATCCTGAGGCCTAGCTGTCAGCTATTGAGTTTTCGGTTTTCAAAAGTTTCAGAATGGTCTTCTGGAATGGATTTCATTCGAAAACCAAGGTACCACTGTATATACAATATAAGATAGTGGCATGGTATAAAACAAATACATGTAATGCAGGCATTACATGAGCAAAGCTGGAAATCAAATTAGAAAACTAAATAGATCGGCCACTGAAGTAAAATTTCATATTGTTATTTTAGCCGTAACAATTATTCTTTCCATTTAATGATTTTTTTTGCACTTGCTATTTCCATCTCAACTAGTTGGAAGAAATCCCAGCACACCACTAGGAAGCAAGACAGCTTATGTTCATTGCATTAAAGGTGCCCCCTTTGGCCATTGTCTCAGTGATCTTCTCCCCTTGAACTGTTTCAATAACTTTTGTAGAATGGCTAGTTCAGCTCCAATAATGCCCTGTCTCCATTTCCTCATTCAGAGCTCCATCAGTCATATTCGCTTCAAAACGTGCTTTTATTCAAGAGATAGCCCTTTGCAAGATGAAAGTTCCCATCTCAAATTAAATGGAGCTTGTTCATTTTTCAAACTCAA